GTTCTTGAGAAATTCAAGAGTTTGAAAATAACTCCTGTGAGAAACCCTGTAGATTCTAATCTGAGTTTATTAAAGAACACTGGTAAAGCTACAGCACAAAAGCTATATGCTCAAGTGTTGGGAAGCCTTATGTATGTTATGAACTGTACCAGACCTGATATTGCTTATGCAGTAAGTCTGTTAAGTCACTTTACCAGTAATCCAAATGAGAATCATTGGAAAGCTATGGTAAGAGTTTTGGGATACTTGAAGTATACTCAGAATTATGCTTTGCATTACGAGAAATACCCCGCGGTTATAGAAGGTTATTGTGATGCAAATTTGATCACCGGCTCTAACGACACTAGATCCACAAGTGGATATGTGTTCACCATTGGTGGAGGTGCTGTGTCTTGGAAATCGTCCAAGCAAACTTGCATTGCAAGGTCAACCATGGAAGCATAATTTATTGCTTTAGATAAGGCCGGTGAAGAAGCCGGAATGGCTTCGTAATTTTATTGAGGATGTTCCTAATTGGCCAAGACCGGTACCATCTGTATGCATACATTGTGATAGCCAAGCAGCTATTGGAAGGGCCAAGAACGTCATGTATAACGGTAAGTCCAGACACATACGTCGTAGACATGATACCGTAAGACAACTACTCTCCAATGGAATCATTTCAATTGACTATGTTAAGTCTAAGGAAAACATAGCGGATCCGTTAACCAAAGGGATTCCTAGAGAGTTAGTTGAAAATTTGTCGAAAGGAATGGGTTTAAGGCCTATCAATTGTTGAGCATTGCGGTAACTCTACCTAGAAGAGTGGAGATCCCATGAACTAGGTTCAAAGAGACAACTAAGTGATGGTCGACTGTTCAAACACTGTGGAGTTTTTAAACTCATACTCATTCCTAAGACAAGACAATGTATTTATGAGGGTAAGCACTTAGGCTTTTAATGATTTCTTAATCTGTTGTGTTCAGATGATGTATAGTGAGTTACATCACAAGAAATCACCTATGTGAGTGTGAAGTGAGGACCGCTTCTATGAGAATTTTACAAAGGCCGATTCTCTAAAACACTCGCAGAACCAGGCAGGTGTCCCACGGCCAAAATGGGCGCAACAAAGGACCAACAATGCTAGAGAAGCAATTGTGTGACTCCTATTGTCTAGGTATACACTAAAGGTTGACGATTCAAGTCGACCTAGACCACCGATTGACCGAGTATATCCGATAGGTTTCCACTAGAGAAGGTTCAAAGGTAACTCCACCTATCTCGATGCAGTTGTTTCTCGTTGAGGAAATTACACTTTGCATTTATACTCTTGTGCATTTTTTGTCACGATGATTTGACTTCTTATCCATGTGGGGGATTGTTGGAGTTTATATATATATATATAAATTGTATAGACAATCTATTGGTTATGAATAAGAAGTTTGGTAGTGAAAAGGTGTGCCTTTTCGTCGACAAACAGATGTATCTTTTCATCCTAAAGGATGTGTTGTTTCATCCTAACGGACATGTTGTTTCATCCTAACGGACATGTTGTTTCATCCTAACGGACATGTTGTTTCATCCTTGAATTAGTGTCTTTTCGTGTTGAACGAATGTGTCTTTTCGTGTCGAACGAATGTGTCTTTTCGTGTCCAACGGATGTGTTGTTTCGTCGTCGAATAGGTGCCTTTTGGAACGTGACTTTACGTTGTCTATAAATAGACACTGACACCTTCAGAAAATGGATCCAATTTTTCTGCACTGAAACTCTGCCGGAATTTTTCTCCTTCCGGTTTTGCATGTTCCTTTTCATACTCCGGTGTAGTTTCCTCTGGCATTTTGTTGTGTTCGTTTGGGCTGTTGATTGGTAGTGCCACCATTCTTCAGACGAAATCCGTTCTATCCTGGGAGACAAGTGTCCATCAACCTTTGGCATCAGTGAGGGGGCAAATTGTCTTAAGGAGACACGTTCTGTGGGCTCAGATTTAATTCCTCTACTGCATACATTAATCTGTTCTGATTCTTTATACTGACTACAAGTAAGTCTGTTTTTAATATTTTTATAATTGCACAGTGATAATTCTGATCATCTACCTCCTCTGCCTTATACATGGGTTCAAATCTCTTAGTGATATAATATCACCCACTGTCTTCAATAACAGTTATCTCTTGAATACCCTATTCAAGTAACAGGACAATGGAAAACAAACTGAAATTATAAGTAAATCTGAGTTATTGGCTTAATATCCTAACATCAGATGCCAGAATATTTGCTAAAACTGATCAGAAGGCGATTATTAATTTATGTAAGGTAACAGTTTTAGAACCTGTCAATTTCAAGAAGGTGTCACTAGCATAAACAATAGGTATGTCTGGTAAATGTGGATTAGTTCTGCAAGGAAACTCAAAATCCAACGTATAAACAAATTAAGGGTCTGCAAAAATTGCCCCTCCTTCAACAATTATGTTCACCATTTCCTATGCAAACACAAACACAAATCGGTTCATTCTAGATAGTTGCACGAGAGAACAAACACCATACAACCACCACAATCTGAACTAATGCAGCAAGATCTGAGGCATCGATTTACCATTCTTTGCAAGATCAGCGAGCGCATGAGTAGCGCGCTTGACCGTTGCTCGATCGGCTTCGTTCCACTTGGACACTCACCTAGTGCTTCATCAACGACAAGTTATAATTTATTGAAAATTAATAATTAATTAATAAGTATGATCCAATAAATTATAACCGATAGATTGACGGAAAACAACGGTTACGATTTAGTAGTAACAGGTAGTAAGAAAAAGAGTTAGTAACTATAACTCCACCGTATAATTAATACAAGGGTAAAGAATTTCTCCGGTCACCGGAGATAAAGTTATCTCCAATGAGCTCAACGATGTTGTTTTGGGACGGAAATCAAGATTTTTTTTTTGGTAAGCTATTGCAGGGTTATATTAGTGTTTATCATTATAATTTTTTAATCTTATACTCCAAAACGATGTCATTTTGAGTTTACTGAAGATAATTTTATCTCCGATGACCGGAGAAATACTTTTCTCTTAATATAAAGGTTCAATTAACAATGTTCCGAAGAAAATATAAATTCATCATACACTATTTAACATCAAAAAGAGGAAAAACAAATGCAGTAATTTTTTTTTAGCATCAGAGAGAAGTTCAACTCAACTGTCAAATTAAATTCATTTAAACTCAAGATGCTTGAAATAACATTGCTAGCTTCTACCTATTGAACTAATTGACTTTTTTTTTTTAATTTTTTCCTTTTCTCTTTATAACCATTCGATATCAAAGTTTGATTGTAATGGTTTTTCAATGTACACTTCATTGTCATTGTAGGCATATCACTTCCAACAAAATGCAATTAAACTAAAGCAAGGTTCATCTAAGGAGTGATCACCAACATTTCTAATTGCTCTTAAGCCAAGTTTGACTTCTCCTTGCTCATCCTCACACACAAATTGCTACAAATCTTTTTCAAGACACTGGACAGTCGCCAAAAATGCACTGGTTTGGCGACGAAACGACACCGACAAGCTGTCAGTTTGAAAACAACGAAAAAAGTGAGAGGGAATTTTGGATAAAAATAAAATAATTTTAAATAAAAATTATTTCCCAAGCACGTGTCGTTCGGACGGCGACAACAGCGCACATGTGTGGTGATTCACATATCACCTATATCTTTCCCCTTTCACAAAAGTAGGATGCCTTAAGGAGCAATTTAAGGAAGTGAGGCTAGGCCTTATAAAGTTTTAACCTCCTCGTTTTTACCTCCTATGTCCTATGTAGTTCTCCTTAAATCCCACTTCCTTCATAGTCCCCTTTATTTCTTCCATTTCCAACTTCTTATTCATCATCCACGGAAATACCCATGCATGGATTCTCATAGGCACAATGTATTTAAAATGGTTAGAAAGGTAAATTGGACGATGTTTCTTTGATGGGGTGAAGTATGTCAATGTGACAGTAACTGAAGAGGCAGCAGTATGGACTACAACTCAGGGCGATCTTAGATAAGCTAAGAATCAAGGAGGTGGTGAATGGGCTCCATTTATGATTGGTGAGAGGAGAGGTATGAGATAACGTGATTTCTCATGCATATGGGTCATGCGGCCGGCGTGGAAAGTGCGGGAAATTACATGTATAGAGGGTCCATATGCTCTCATATGCTTAAGTGTTTTGGCCTTCGCCATACGACCAACAGGACAATCAGCCAATGCCATCCGATATCTCCAAAACAATATATTGCATTCATGTAGGACCCAACATATCCCCTATGCTACAAAAACACACCATTTGCATATGCACTTTTATTTCATTTTCATGAATTAACTTTTAGAGGTTATGAGTTTGAGAGAGAAGAGTTTAAAGATGCTTGAAGTATTATATCAAGAGACATCAAATTTGAAATGTTCAACAATGTTAACTCCAACTTAGGAAACTCTAAATATAATGTAAACTATTGGGCTGAAGTCCATATAAATTCAAATAATTATACTTTCATCTATTGAACTTATACGTAAATATATTGTTAAATTATATTATTAATATATCTAACATTAACTACTGCTCGTTTTCTAGAAATTTCCACCAAAGTCTATTAACAACTTCTATTACAATTCGTCTATGTTCTCAGCTTCTCACACGTTCATAATACCGACATTTTCCAATTTATTGTACGGCACAAGTGTCTTGGGCGGCTCCTCCTTCCGCAAGCAAACGACAAGACATTCGCATGATGTTTCCACGTCATAATTACGTAAATGCCCAGAATCTTCCATCGTACACGCTTAGTCGTACAAATTAAATTGGTCAACGCACGCCACGCGGCATTCGCCATTATAAATATTCACCCTCCCTTTTCAGCCACCATTTTGTAGCATCTTTCCCTCCTTCTTTTCTTATTCTGAATTCTTATGCCATCTAATTTGGTTGCTACAACTATATGTTATCAATATATGTGTATACTTTATATATATAGAGTTTGATTAAGTGTAATATGGTTATGGACAAGCTAACCCAATATGAACGTGTGTTCAATCACTTTGATGAAAATGGAGATGGCAAGATATCATCGTCGGAGCTGCGGCAATGCGTGACGGCCATCAGTGAGGAGTTATCGGTGGAGGACGCGGAGGCGGTGATGGAGTTTATAGATGTGGACGGCGATGGGCTGGTGGGGTTGGATGATTTTGTGAGGTTTGTGGAAGGAGGGAAAGAGGAAGAGAAAGTGAATGACCTAAGAGAGGCTTTCAAGATGTATGAAATGGATGGGAGTGATTGCATCACACCAAGAAGTCTTAAGAGAATGCTTAGCAAGTTAGGTGAATCTAGAAGTATAGATGAGTGTCAAGTTATGATCTCTCAATTTGATCTTGATGGAGATGGTGTACTCAGTTTTGATGAATTTAAGGTCATGATGATGTAATGTATATATTTGTTTCCCGTTCCCTTTATTCGTTATTGATTATTCATATTAGGTCCATATTTACTTCTTCTGGTTGTAGCTGAAAAGGTAAATGAGTACCTAAGTTGAATTTCTTTTGTTGACCCATTATGGAGTTAGTTAATTTGGAACTGTTGTCGGTCTTCTTTCATGATCTATATATGTTGTTTATCGCTTTCGTTTTATGTTTCTCTCTTGGAGGTGATTGATAGCAATCATGCATTTTTTAGCTTCAGATTTACATACGAATTCGAAGTCACTTTATTTATATTAGTGAATTGTATGATAAAATTTGTTAACAAATATATGTGTCAATGAATTCAATTTTTTGTATTTGATAATATAAAACTTATGAAATCTTGTAAGACTCTTTAAAATCAAATTCAGAGACAATAAAACACTCAACTAATTATATTTTTTGCATTTGTGTATTATTATAATTCAATAAGTCATTAAAGTTGACATGTCCATAACTTGTTGCAAGTACTATAATTAATTTAATCCAAACCCCAAATCATTTAATTTCTTTTAAGGTAAATTCATTTCATTTATATAAAAGAAGTTACAGGCGCAATATTGACAAATTATAACCTGTAATGAATATATTAGTGAGTGCTTTAATACTTTACGGATTGTATAGAACAAGATAAATAGAAAGGGTAGTGTATTTGATTACTCAGCGTGCAATTCCTGAAAAAGGTGGAGAGGTTCAAACCCAAAAATAAAATAATCCAATGGACTTCAATTGGTATCTAAGAAAACAAACCGCTGATAAAATAAGGGTTTCAATTTTGTTATGTAGTAAGAGAAAAAAATTTCATGCTATAAACACATCATGTGTGAGGCCCATATTTATTTAGAAGAAAGAGTAAATACCTTTTTGGTCTCTAACAAAAAACACGGTCCCTACTTTAGTCCCTTACAAAAATAAATTAGTCAGTTAGTCCCTAACAAATTCAAAGTGGACCCATTTAGTTGAAATCGTGGTCCTGACAAATTCAAAAAAGACCCATATTAGTCCCTCAAAAGGACTAAAATGGGTCTACTTTGAATTTGTTAGGGACTAACTGACTAATTTATCTTTGTAAGGTACTAAAGTGGGGACCGTATTTTTTGTTAGGGACCAAAAATGGTATTTATTCTAAAAGAAAAAGAAGATATTGCACGAAAATCGAAGGATCAATGGTAGGAGAAAATAATTCTTTTACAACTTGAGAAAATATTTTTCATGAAATAAATATGTTTTTTAATTAATACATGTATGTTGGGAATCCATGAAAAAAAATCATAAAAGTCGTTCACTCCTTAAGGATTACATATATATATCACTCTCATGGTTAACCTTAAATGCCATAACAAGTCTAATAAAACTTTGCCACTGAAACTACAATGGTTAATATATGCATATGTATAGACTCACGTATGTGTGGCAATTCAGGTTGACACAAATTCAATACGAACACGACATAAAATAAAAATTTGGTTAAAGCCTTCGATACAAACACAATCCATTAATTTTGCGGGTATACATGAATAATCTGCAATTTTAAAGTGTGTTTCTTATTATTATACGAGTTGATACAACACGACATGAATAATCTTCCAACCTCAAAATGCGTGGTTTATTATGCGAGTTGACACAACATTATAAGACACAAATAATCAATTTACGACATGATACAAAAAACCTGTAAGAAGATTAAACCGGGTCAATTTTAGGTTTATAGGTTGACATGCGACACGGTGCAAATTTTTTCATGTTAGTTTTTGTGAAAACAAATTTATCCGAACACAAATTTTGTGTCTTGTGCCACCTTTAGACTAAGGGGATGTATTGGATTGGGATTTCAAAGGATTTTAATGGATTATTTTTGGACAAAGAAAATCCATTGGTATTCAATTAGGATTTTAAATGATTGAAAAAAAAGTCATGTGGTATTCGATTAGGATTTTAAAAGATTATTTTAGAGTCTATTCAAATTCGTTGGTATTCAATTAGGATTTTAAACAAAGGAAAAACAATTTTGTGGTATTCAAAAATCTTACAATTTTAATAGATTTTCTATTGCTGTGGATTTCGTGAGACTTTTTAATCAGGAATATAAATAGGATGCCTCTCTCACAATCTCACTTTAACCCCTAAGATTTCTTGAGATTTCTCTATTGCATTGTCTTCTTCTTCCTTTGGTGGGTCGACCCGCTCGAAATCGATTCCGCCATGGGAGCTTCGTCAAAACTAAAAAATAACATATTTTTGAGCGATTTTCATCACAAAATAACCCAGAAACAACAACTCAAAAACAGTAGATCTTGAAGCAATTTTTGCGAATTTTTGAAAGTTTAAAAATGATTTTTCAAGCTATTGGTCATGATTTTTCTTGGTACAAAAATGTGTGATTTTTATATTAAAAAAAACATAAAATAGTGAGAAAACAACAGGGGAACAAAATCCCCCATACCAATTTTCATTTTACATCAATGAAACAAGATAGATTTAAATAAAGATTGGTACTTCTCGACAGCTGCAAGAAATTGATCGGCATGAAGGATGACAAAAGCATTTAAGTTTATGGAGGAGTTTTGTTGAATAAACGTTAAATGTCAGTTTTAATTTTATTGGATTTAATTCAGCAATTTTTTTTTTGGTTTAAATGATTATTAGTTTTGTGTTTTTTAAGTTTTTCAAGTTATGTGAGTTTATTGTGGTAAAACTTTCATAATATGAACCTATGTTTCATAATAATACATTCATGAACGAAATTCTTTCACTATAAGAAACGATTTCAAACAATTTTTGTGTCAATAGATCACTAAAAATTTGTTTTTCAAAACCCCCAAAGCAATTTAAGATTTCAATGTATCGATTGAAAACAATTTGAGAAATTTTCTAAACTTCATGTAACAAAATCCAGAAATTCAGATTCAAAATTTTCTTGAAATACTCAATGAAAACATGCATATGATACATGGTTACAAAACTCTCATCACGTAGAACAAAAATCCAAAATTTACAAGATCAATTGCAAAAAATTCCAAACAAAAAATTATCATGAATTTTGCTAATTGAGAAAATTATATTACGTTTTACATTTTTTAAAAATTTATATTATAAATCTTATAAATTCTATTAAAATTCTTTAAAATCTAATCTTATAAATTTTGATTGTAAAAAAAGTCATTAAAATCTCTCCAATTTTGAATAGTATTTTAAAATTTATGAAATTTTTTATCTCAAAACAATCTTTTGAAATCCTAATTCAATACAGCTCCTGAGGTGATTTTTCATATGTAATTTAAAAACGTAATCAATCCTCACCAAAAAAAAAAAATGTAAAAACAAAAAACTGTGTGGGGAAGATTGGTGAGCGATGAGTGAGAGAGAGAAAGGTGATCATGGGAAGAATCCTGGCAAATCAAGTGAAGAACTTGACATTCTTCAAAGAAGTAATAAGAGGAATAAAGGTGAGGGAGATCAGTTTTCAAATGATGTATCTATGATACCTAGACATGAAGGTTGGATGGAAGATGAGAATGGCCAACGTTCAACCTGGAGGGAAATTCTGATGCGTCATAATGGAGAAGATGATGAATGGGAAAGAGAGGCGTCTGCCGAGGAAGACTTAGATGGGGAGGAACCTGCTGAGGAAGAGGATGTCAACCATGGAGGAATTAAGATGTGGGAGGAAGATGATGGGCGTACTTATTTTAGTTGCACCAAAAGAGCAAGGAAGAGAATGAGGAAACCTTGGGAGAAAGCTCTGATTGTTAAACTCCTTGGGAAGAAAATTGGGGTGGAGTTTATGAAGAAAAAAATAAATGTCTTATGGGCTAGAAAAGGCAAAATCAATGTCACTGATATTGGTAATGACTTTTTCGTAGTCCAGTTTAGTGAGAAGGATGATCTCAATTTTGCGTTGAACGGTGGTCCATGGATTGTTTTGGGTCATTATTTATCGTTGAGGAAGTGGGAACCAACTTTCAGACCTAATAGTGCTGGAATTGCTAAGATTGCTGCTTGGATTCGTCTACCGGATATTCCCATTGAATTCTATGATGAAGCTTTTTTTAGAAGGATTGGAAACTGGTTAGGCAAGATGATCAAGGTAGACAGCAATACAAATGCTCATGTAAGAGGACAGTTTGCAAGAATATGTGTGGAACTGGACCTATCTCAGCCATTAAAGGGTGATTATGTGCTGGAAGGATTTACCAAACAAATTGAGTATGAAGGATTAGGGCTCATTTGTTTTGGTTGTGGGAAATATGGACATAGCACCGAGAATTGTTCAGCTGCTCCAAAGCAACGCAGTTCATCCGATATTCATAATGACGATCAAATTCATCAAGAGGAACCTGGCAACTCAGAATTCCATCGAAGCAAAGGATTGGGACCTTGGATGGTTGTTAACCGTCAACGCAGGAGCCGGCAACCTCCTCAGACGGCCGGTACAGTCCAGCCAGGCGCTGGTTCAAAAACGTTACAAAGGAATAATGATAAGGGAGTTATGACCAGCGATAATCATGGAGATAATCATGGTGATAAGAGAGTTATGACCAGCGATAATCATGGTAATCATGGTAATAAGGGAGTTATGACCAGCGATAATCATGGTAATCATGGTAATAAGGGAGTTATGACCAGCGATAATCATGGAGATAATCATGGTGATAAGGAGGAAATTACGCAATCACGGTTTGCAATCTTAACAGCTGGACCTATTAATGAGGAGGATCATAATCAAATAATTAATTCTGTTACTCCTCATATGGGGGCCCCTCAGTTTGAAATTCCTCAGAAAATATGGACTAAATCCAAAAAGTCCAAAGATACCCCTAGGACTAAATCAACGGTTCCTACTATGCATGCGGCTCATTCTTCAAGCACGGGTAAGAGGTGTCCAGTCCAGAGTGAAAATCGTGAAGATCATACTCCCGTTCCACCATCTCCATCAATTGCTACTCCCATGGCGGTTAGTCCTATGCAAGCAAATCAACATGATCAGGAAAATGGGATGAAAGCAGATAGCACTTTGAACCAGAATCAAGAGCAGTTATATGACACATTTCATAAAACTGGTCCTGATATATCAGTTGACAACAGCAGCGACATCCAAAATCCTAAAACCTCAACCATCTCTACGTGCATGGAGGTGGACAGAGTTCACCAGGAAGATATTTCAAGAATGAAGGATGCAAGAACCTTGGAGTCTTGCGTTCAACATAGTTTTTAATGAATTTATTCTTCTGGAACTGTAGGGGAGCAGTGAAACCCCAGTTTCAAAAATCGCTTTTTCTGTTTACTAGGAAATATAAGCCTAGTATTGTAGTGATTCTAGAACCTCGGTGTAGTGGTCAAAAAGCTTCTGACATTATCCGAAAATCTGGGTTTAAGCATGCTTTTGTTCAAGAGGCAGAAGGTTACTCAGGGGGTATTTGGATCCTCTGGAATGATGAGACTGGTCTCGTTGAAATTGTTAATCACACAAAACAGTTTGTTCATTTTAAAGTTCAGAATTTTCATGTTCCTTCCTTTTCTTGCACGGCAGTTTATGCGAGTCCTAGGGAAGAAAATAGAAAGGAGCTATGGGATGATCTGCTAAACATTAGTCTCCATTGTAATGGGCCGTGGTTGGTGGCTGGGGATTTTAATGAAATAGCAAATCGGGATGAGAAGAAAGGTGGCTGTAGAGTTAACTTAAACAGATGTTCCAATTTTGCAAATGTTCTTCATAATTGCAAGCTGCTGGATCTTGGAGGATCAGGTCCTTGGTTTACATGGAAGGGTCCGAAGTTTCTTCATCTTGATCGTGTTTTTAAGAGGCTGGACCGAGCCTGTGCTAATGCAAGTTGGAAGACTACCTTTACTGATGCTGGCGTTAAGGTACTTCCACGGATTTATTCTGATCATAGTCCCATTTTGGTCTACTTGTCTAACTTGGACACAGGTTGGAAAAATCGTCCCTTTCGCTTTGAGATTGCTTGGATGGAGCATTATAACTTTACTCAGTTTCTGGCTAGGAGCTGGAATGTTGTGAAAGACACTAGAACGAATCTGCATGATCTGACTCCAAATTTAAAAAGATGGAACAAGATAGTCTTTGGCAACATTTTCAATAGGAAGACTAACCTATTGCATAGTATTGCAGAAATTCAGAATCATGTTGATTATCATACCAACTTATCTCTCCAATCTAGAGAAAAGGAGGTTAGGAAGGACCTTGATGCGGTTCTCATACAAGAAGAGATCTTATGGTTTCAAAAAGCCAGGGTGAAATGGATAAATGATGGGGATAGAAACACCAAATTCTATCACATTAAAACAGCTACTCGAAGAAGTTCGAATAGGATTCTTGAGTTAAAAAATTCTGATGGGATTTGGGTGAAGGAAGCTAGACAACTTCATCAATTGGTAACAGATTTCTATAGCAACTTGTTTAGTGAGGAAGTCCTTAATCGTGATTGGGTGAAATCAAAGACTACTTGGCCCCTTCTGCACGATGATCTGCTATCTAATCTGACTCGTAATCTTTCGGATGACGAAATTTCAAAAGCTGTTTTTAGTATCAATGGGTCAAAAGCTCCAGGGGAAGATGGTTTTCCAGCTGCCTTTTTTCATAAGAATTGGAGTCTTATTAAGACTAATGTTATTAAGGATGTTAACATGATGTTTCAGAATCCCAATCTGATTCACCTTGTGAACTCGACTCTTCTGGTCCTCATTCCAAAAGTAAAGAGACCTGAAAGTGCTAAGCAGCTCAGACCAATCTCTTTGTGCAATGTCATTTATAAAATCCTCAGTAAAATTCTGGTTAACAGAATGAAGCCCCTAATGGAAGAGATGGTGTCTCCCTTCCAAGCTAGTTTTGTTCCTAAACGACATATCCAGGACAACATCATCATCACCCAAGAGCTGATCCATTCAATGCGTAGAATGAGAGGAAGAAAATGTTTCATGGCAATTAAAATCGACTTGGAAAAGGCTTATGATATGTTAAATTGGGAGTTTGTTCGTAAAATTTTGGATGAAATTCAAATCCCACACTGGTTCACAAATATTATCATGAATTGTATCAACTCTGATAAGGTCCCAGTGCTTTGGAATGGAGCCATTGCAGGCGACTTCCTTCCTTCAAGAGGAGTTCGTCAGGGTGATCCTTTATCTCCCTACATTTTTGTTCTAGCCATGGAAAAATTGTCTCATCTCATTCAAGATGCGGTTAACAATAAGAGATGGAAGCCAATCTCCGTGGGATCAAAAGGTCCTAAGATAGCCCATCTGATGTTTGCTGATGATTTGATGTTGTTTGCAGAAGCTTTTCTAGATCAAATCAAAGTTATAGTGGATTGCTTGGAGACTTTTAGTTCAATGTCTGGCCTAAAGGTTAGTATTCCGAAATCTAGTATTTTTTTCTCGAAAAATACAGATGCTCACATTGCAGATGATATCACAAATGTGTGTGGCTTCAAGCAAACTCACAATATAGGGAGATATCTTGGGTCCATGATGAAACATGGTCGAGTAACCAAAGACCATTATGCTGATGTTGTTGCAAGAATTAGGCACAAGTTATCTGGTTGGAGTAACCAGGTCTTATCTTTTGCCGGTCGAATTACACTTTCCAACTCCGTTATTTCAGCAACTCCTATATTTCAAATGCAACACAGTCTGCTTCCTGTAGCCATTTGTGATGAAATAGAGAAGTTGCAGCGTGCCTTTATTTGGGGTGATAAAAATGGTCATAGGAGATCTCATCTGGTTGCATGGGATAATATTTGCAAGCCTAAGAGCATGGGTGGCTTAGGGGTGATTAACCTTCGTGTCCAAAATATGGCTTTCTTTCACAAGCTTGCATGGACGATACTTACTTCGCCCGATTCGTTGTGGGTTCGAGTTGTAACAAGTAAATATAAGAGAGGTTTGGATCTTCGGAGGGAAGTAAATCATAAAGCATATGACTCATACTTCTGGAAAAATCTGTGTAGTGTTTGGCCATCTTTTCTTCAAGCAATGCAATGGGAGATTGGAGACGGTAATGATGCATTATTTTGGACAGACAATTGGTTGGGTTTAACTGAGTGTCTTGCCTCTCTGGCTACTCGTACTCCAACTGGTTTGGAGTTGAATCTCCCTGTTAGTGCCTTCGTGAACAGCAATACTGGTCAATGGAACTTTCCTTATATTCGTCAATATCTCAATGATCAAGCTGTTGCAAGGATCCAAGCTGCTCTCATTCCTAGCGCATCGGATGGAAATGACCGCATTATTTGGAGAAATCAAAAGGTTGGCTGCTCTTTAGTTAAAACCGCGTATTATAACATGCTTGGTTTCCCTCTCATGCCGTTGAAAAATTCTTGGACTACCATATGGAAATGGCATGGGCCTCAACGTGTTAAATCTTGTATGTGGATCATAATGCATGGCCGCCTTCTTACTAAAGACCGCACATCTAGATGGAGTGGGGAATCTGGTCATTGTAAAATATGTCCTGGTGAGTTGGAAACAAACCTCCATGTTCTAAGAGATTGTAAGCATGCTAGAAGTGTTTGGAATTCTCTGGTTTCAGCTAATCGGCAAAGCTTATTCTACAGCTTGGATCTTAGAGATTGGGTTGAAAATAATATCTCAAAAGCTTGGAATCAAAGTAATTCAGATGATTGGCGTGATGTCTTTTTTATCTCTTGTTGGTTCATTTGGGGATGGAGGAACAAAAGTGTCCATGATACTAACTTCAAGCATCCAACCCATGGAACGCACATAATTGCTATGTATATAGAGGAAGTTCGTAACTGCATGGGTAGGAAGGCTATGGCTACTACTAGCATTCATACAACTCGTATGAGTTTATGGAAACCTCCAAGGTTAAATTGGGTGAAGATTAATATTGATGGGGCAGTTGAAAGGAATACTGAGGTGGCTGCTTGTGGTGGGATTATCAGATCTGATGATGGCTCTTGGTTGGGAGGCTTTGAGTATCATATTGGTGCTTGCACTCCTTTAATGGCGGAGCTTTGGGGAACTCTAAAAGGTCTGGAATTGGTTTGGCAACTGGGATTTAAGAAGGTGGAACTAGAAGGAGATGCTTCTGAAGTATTCTCTTTGCTTGCTGATTGCAATGCAGCTTGTCAGCCTCGTATAGTGGCTAAGATACAAGCACTCATCGGTCAGGATTGGGAGGTAACACTTTCTCATATTCCAAGAGAAGCTAATTCCTGTGCTGATTGGTTAGCCAAGTCTGCTCTTCACAAAGATACTGGATTCTGGAGTCATAGAGTTATGCCGTTTCACCTTGCTCAGTTATTTGATCACGATCTTCAGGGAATCTCCTCTTGTAGGGATATAGACCCTGGATAGTTATTTTTTGTTTCTGGTTGTTTGTTTGGGGCTTCGCCCCTTAATGTTATCAAAAAAAAAAAAAACGTAATCAATAACTAAGCTTCAACTTGACCTTTGGCCCAATTTTTCTGATTTTTTTATTACTACATTACTAAATGCGCGCGTCTACTGCAATTATTTTCAACGTCCACCTCTATATAATAAGGAAAAATATGTTTCCATGTGGTTAGAGTAACCCTGTCTCGTGTCATAGAAATAAATATGTAAGTCTGTTTGAAATTTACTTTAAAAAACAATTTTTTAATTTTAAGAATAAAAAAACTTGTTTAATAAGACCTGTTTTATAAGAATAATTTTAAAATTTATAATTTTTTTTGTTTTTATAATCAAATTTAGAGAATATATCTAAGTTATTTTTTGTATTTTCACTTTTAACTTTCAAAACAAAAATATATATAAAAAAACACATATTTTATTAACTATTCTATAAATCAGTTTTAAAATCAAATAGACCCAAAAGCTTTTATCCTCTAAAGTGAGATAATTTTCTATTATACTCTTCTTCTTTTTCTTTTTTTAGTAGATCCTACTCTCTTCTTTTAAGGCACAGCTTCATTCTTTTGTATTTTTTAAATTCTCATATCATTATTAACTTTTACATCTATCTTTTTACGATAAACTTTTTTATTTCTTTCAAAATCTCATATATTTATACTCTCAACATGATTACTTACAAATTTCTATTTTTACATTATTTTTTTTCTCTTCAAATCTCAATTGCTGATATTCTCAAATTAATTTCTTTAAAAAAAATTTACATTAAAATATACTTCATTCATATATATCCAACCCTATGTAACAAAATAGAGTCCTTATATTTGAGAGTAAGATAATCTCCTCTCGTACTTGCTTCCTCTACATATGATATGTGGAATTACTAATTATTTTTAATCGTCATTTTTAACTTAATTAGTTTCTGTTTTCCTTTTTAAGTCTTAACTAATTATATATCAAAATAATAAATTTCAATTTCTTTAACTAAAAGTTCCTTCTTTTCCCCTCATATCTCATATTCTCAAATTGAAATAGAGTAAATTATATTATTAAAAGTAACTTAATCTTTTAGTTTGCTATTCTTTAAAAAGTCACAATATTATTCTTAACTTCTCTTCTTTTAAATTTTGAATTTAAATTACTTTAAAATAATAGTTTTTAGATTCTACCTAAATTTATTATGAATACAACTCTTATAATTAATTTTAGAACTACAATAGAATCTACAATATGTCAACCCCACACTCATTCAATTCTTTCATCTCATTTTCTATGTACATAGGAAATGAGATGAAAAGCGACGGTTAATATGTATAAAAAAATGTTTATCAAAATCATAATAATAATAATAGGGGAAAAGAAGAATAATGTTGTAAGAAAATTGTTAGGTTATATTGTAGAGATAGGGATTTTGGGACCCACACTTGTTTTCAAAAAACAAAAAAACCAAACAAGTGTGGGTCCCACAATCTCTATCTCTACAACATAATCTAACAACATTATATTTCTATTTTCCATAATAATATGTATAAAAATTAATAAATTACTAGTTTCTAATGCCAACGACAAGCATGAATGGAGTGTTCATCAATTCTTGTCTCCACCAACAAGGTGCATGACTTATTTGTCGAACGATGTAATATGGGAGTTGCTCTCCCCAGAATGCGTCCAATGTAGTTTACCTTATTTCCTTTATCTATCAAAAAAAAAAGTAACCAATTATAAAGAAAAAAACACAGCTCTCTCTATGTTATCAATAATTTATTTTTTAGTTGTCATGATGTTCTTGCATGTAATTTAGGAGGTGGTCTTGAAATATCTTGATGTGTGGAAAACTTCTTATTGGTCAACAACGACAATTCTTTACCAAATGATGGTAGCTCAGTTGGAGCCAGGAAATTAAGTAGTTGGGGGTGAGAGCATGTGTTCGATCCTCCACAATATTATTTTTGAGAGGGGTTTAAAGCCTTAATTCCAAGACCCGCCTTGAATCGGACTAGTCGCGAAGCGATCAACCTATTGGAATATTTTAAAAAAAACAACAACGACGATTCTCTTATTGGAAACAAGGTGCGGGAATTTGCAAAGATACTTTGGTTGGATTGGTTCAAATAATACATTTTTGATTCTGCTTAAACAGAGTCTTAGATTCAAGTCCTTGTGAATGCAAAAAAATTTCTTTGGGAGAGCTAACCTCACTATAATGTGGATGTTCTCGACTAGAACAAGATTATCTTTGAGAAAGGATACTGTGATTTATTGTTAGGTTCTTGGAACCTAAGAAAGAACAGAACAAAAAGAAGTAAAGAACAGAGAATCTGAATCGAGTTTTTATTTGAATGCCTTACAATGTCATGTTCCAAGTATTATATACAAACAGAACAACTAACTCACTTAACACCTGTCTAACTACGTGTAGACTAACTAACCCACTACCCAATTAATACATGCACCTATGCACGTGTGAACCAACCGTTTCACCACTTGATTAACTACATGCAACTAACACTGATACAATCACAAGATTACTTCAAGCAACAAAGTCAGTTAATCTCGATGAATGCTTCTTGTCCCTACTTGATCTCCTTAATGTAACATTTCCCTCTCCTTCAACAATGACCTTGTCCTCAAGGTCGAGAAATGGGTAGCAGTGACGCAAATCTTGCTTTTTCTCCCAAGAAGCATCCTCAGGAACTGTGTTGGACCATTGAATCAAAAACTCATGTATTTTTTGTCCATGGCAAGAAGAATGACGTGTGCCTAGGATTGCTACTGGAACCTGCACAGGTCTGTTATCAACAGCTGAAGGTGGAAGTGAATTCGGTACAATTGGAATAGAACCTATACAAGGTTTCAGCTGCGAAACATGAAACACTGGATGAATTTGGCTCCCTAGAGGCAGTTGCAACTCATAAGCAGTACTCCCTAACCTTCGAAGAACTTCAAAGGGGCCAATAAACCGTTTAGCTAGCTTGTGATTGGCTCTTCTTTCAACTGTTAATTGTCTATATGGTTGTAACCGGGCCCAAACTTTATCTCTCACATTAAATGAACGCTCCTTGTGATGCTTATCAAATTGAATCTTCTTGCGATTCTGAGCCCGCTGCAAATGGACCTTAAGCTGAGTTAAAACTTCATTTCTTTGCTACAACAGTGTATCAATTGCTTCCAATTTAATCAATCCTCTGGGATAAAAAGGTATCATGATTGGAGGCTTCCCAAAGACTGCCTGATAAGGAGACATGCCAATAGCTGAATGAATGGCTGAATTGTAATGGTATTGTGCCCAACACAAGAAACTGCACCAAGATTTTGGTTGCTCAAAACAAAAAGAACGTAGATACTGTTCAAGGTATCTGTTGGTCACTTCTATTTGACCATCAGATTGTGGATGGTATGATGAAGTAGTCCTTAAAGTAGTACCACTCAATTTGAATAGATGGCTCCAAAACTTGCTTAAAAAAATACGATCTCTGTCTGTCAATATGGATCTAGGAAAACCATGAACTCTTACTACCAATTCACAAAATAAAGTTGCAACAGTGAATGCTGTATAAGAGTTTGGTAAGGGACCTAAATAAGCAAATTTAGACAATTGATCTACAACAACTAAAACAGTTGTAAAACCTTTCGAAGGAGGTAATCCAGATATAAAACCCATGGAAAGCTCCTCAAAAATACCTTCCGGAATTGGAAGTAGCTGCAACAACCCTGCAACTTTAGATGTCTCATATTTTACTTGTTGACATATGTGACAATTCTGAACAAATTGTTTCACATCTTTCTTCATAGTTGACCAATAGAATGTAGCTGTCAATCTCAAAAAGGTCCTTAATACACCCGCATGACCACCAATCAACGAGGAGTGAGCTTCTTTCAAGGATGAAGAAGGACTAATGAAGTATTTACCTTTATACAAGAGTACCCCCCTCACGAATAAGCATATCAGGATCACTGTTTGGATGATCCTTCAATTTTTGATGAAGCTGCACTAAATGAGGGTCAACCAAATTCTGATTTTTAATTTCAGACAGAAGGTCAAACTCAGGTTCAGACAGAGATACACACAAAGCACCATCTTCATCAAATACTCGAGATAAAGCATCAGCTACTATGTTGGCATGACCAGGTTTATATTCAATGTGAAAGGAATAGCCCATCAATTTGCACAGATACTTTTGTTGCTCAGTTGTATAGATTGTTTGAGTAAGAAGCTCCTTGATACTTCTGTGATCAGTTCTGATTATGAATTTGGCACCCAACAAATATTGGCGCCAATGTTTAACAGCTGTAGTGATTGCATATAACTCCCTAATATAGGTAGAAGCACTAGCTAGCCGAGGGCCTAACTTTTTGCTAAAATAAGAAATTGGGTGCTCACCTTGAAGCAATAATACACCTACTCCATGGCTCGAAGCATCAGTATCCAATACAAACAGTTCCTCAAAATTAGGTAACCTCAGCACGGGTGTTTGAGACATAGCCTGCTTCAGGTCCAAGAAAGCTGCTTCAGCTGCTGCAGGCCAAGTAAAAACAACTGGTCCCTTCAGTAAATTGGTTAATGGAAGAGCTATGGAAGCATATCCTTTAACAAATCGTCTGTAATAACCAGTTAGTCCTAGGAAACCCCTCAGTTGTTTAATATTTCTTGGAGTAGGCCATTGAAGCATGGCTGAGATCTTCCTTGGGTTAGCACAAACACCCTTATTATCTACCACATGGCCCAAATACTCAATGGACTTCTGACCAAATGCACATTTGTTGAGCTTAACAAAAAAGTCATATTGCTGTAAGGATCTGAGAGTCAATTCCAAATGCTTAGCATGTTCTTCAATATTTTTGCTAAACACCAAGATGTCATCGAAGAAGACTATAATAAATCTCCTCAAATAAGGCTTGAACAGGTGGTTCATGACAGCTTGGAAAGTTGCAGAGGCATTTGTCAAGCCAAAACGCATGACTAAGAATTCATAATGGCCCTCATGTGTTCTAAAAGCAGTCTTGTAAGCATCAGCAGGTAGCAAACGGATTTGATGATATCCTGCCCTTAAGTCCAACTTTGTGAAGATGGTTGAACCTCCTAATTCATCCAAAATCTCATCAATTGTTGGAATAGGAAATCTGTCCTTAATTGTAGCTACATTAAGAGCCCTGTAATCAATGCAAAGTCTCCAAGAATTGTCTTGTTTTCTCACTAGCAAAACTGGAGAAGAGAAGGGACTATTGGAATGTTGAATGAACCCAGCTGCCAATAAGTCTGATACTTGTTTCTCAATTTCAGATTTTTGGCTATGACCATAACGATAATGTCTCACATTAATAGGTTTGGTTCCTTCCTCCAAATGGATTGAATGATCCAATCCTCTAAATGGAGGCAATCCACTAGGTACAGAAAACACCTTCTGAGATTTGAGTAGAATGGACCATACAAGTGGATGGATTTCAGTTTGCAATTATGTCAACTCAGGTAAGCATGTGATCTGCAAGTTGGAATCAGTTTCTACATGCAAAGAATTACACATTGCCCACTCATTGGTGAGTAAGACATTCATGTTAGAAGTAACCGAAACATCATTATGGCCTTGCAAGGAAATTGAGTTACCTTCCCAAACAAAGTCCATGGATTTCCTTATATAATCATGAGTGACCTTTCCTAAACGTTTGAGCCAAGGCATGCCCAATATAATGTCAATATCAGCTAAATCCAAAACCCATAGATCACATACAAACAAATTCCCTTAAATCAACAGTGGTACCTTTAAACACCTCCTTTCAGAATACATGACATCACCATTACCCAGAAACACCCGAATTCTATGTGAATGGGACATGGGTAAGGAAAGTTTAATGGCTAGCAGCTTCTGAATAAAGTTGTGAGTGCTGCCAGAATCAACTAGAATAGAAAAACATACCTTCTAAAGCAGAATTGAACACCAAGGCACGATAATGATTTTTATCTCTCAAGGTATGTAATGATGCATCTTTTGATTCTCCCATGGAATTATCAACTTGCCACACTATCTGCTCTTCTTTCAGATTCTCTTGTAATTCATCTTCTTCTCCCACCAGCAACATCATTTTATTTTTACATATATGTTTTGAAGTCCACTTTTCTTCACAAGTATAGCATAGGCCCAACTCTCTCCTCTTATGCAAATCAGCATTGAATACCCTTTTCATCTGATTAGAAGCTGGTAAAGACAACCTTGGTGTATTTGAAATTGTTGGTGGAGGAACAATATGAATTGTTGAAGTGGTTGGACTAACTGAATTAACCGCAGTAACCTGAACTGGTTTGGGAAAAAATTTCTTGGGAGCACCTTGAAATGAATTCTTTAAATCACCAAAGTGATCATCATAAGCCATTGCAAGTTGAATGGCTTGATGCAAGGATATCGGTTCCCTCAATTGGACAGCACTCTAGAGCTCAGATTGAAGACACGAAACAAAAAAATTCATCAAAATATCATCATCTAAATCTGGTATCTGATTAACCAACGCCTCAAATTGTTGAATATAAGAACGAAGAGATGAGGATTGAGTCAATTTAGACAAAGCTCCTTTTAAATTTGTGAACCCAAACATACCAAAACGTTGACGAAGTGCAGCAGTAAAATCACACCAAACAAGAGCTTTACCTGTATTGAAGGTCCACTGAAACCACGAAGCTGCCATGCCCTCCATCTTCAACCCAACCAATGACACCTTTGTTTCTTCTGGAATCATTTGAAGAGTGAAGAAAACCTCCGCTTTAAAGATCCAATTATTAAGATCATGACCATTGAATACTGGTATCTCCATGCAAACACCTTTAAGTAATGAATGATGATCCATAGCTTCGGATCTATACGAATTGTGAGAAGCAGAAGAAGTATTGGTGTGTGAAGAGTCATGCCTATGCGCCTGATTAGCGATAACCGTTTCCTGTAATTGTTGCATCTGATTCACCAACATTGAGATCTGGTTTCTAGTTTCAGCGGCTTGTCTCGTTGCTTGCATACGAAGTTCTTCAAAATTTGTGTCCACCCGTTGCTGAAAGGAGTGCAACTCCTTCGATAGTTCTTGAACTCTCGTCATTGTCTCAAGAACAAAAAGATGAAAGCACCAATGTTAGGTTCTTGGAACCTAAGAAAGAACAGAACAGAAAGAAGGAAAGAACATAGAATCTGAATCGAGTTTTTATTTGAATGCTTTACAATGTCATATTCCAAGTATTATATACAAACAAAACAACTAACTCACTTGACACCTGTCTAACTACGTGTAGACTAACTAACCCACCACCCAATGAATACATGCACCTATGCACGTGTGAACCAACTGTTTCACCACTTGATTAACTACATGCAACTAACACTGATATAATCACATGATTACTTCAAGCAACAAAGTCAGTTAATATCGATGAATGCTTCTTGTCCCTACTTGATCTCCTTAATGTAACATTTATCCAAAAAGAAAAGAAAAAAAATAAGTGTTTAAGTAAAGGCATGATCGTATTGGTTAACTTGATATTTATGTGCTTAATGAAATAGGGGCTTAGGGTTATTGGTGGTGACATACCTTAAGTTTAGGCCTAGCAGAGGCACATTAATCCACAATCCAACCTAAACCACTTGAATTATTGCATTTTAATTATAGGTAATGTTAAAAACAAAATTGGGGTTTGATTTTTTTTGCATGAATCACATGAAAACAAATTAAGGAATACGAGCCTAGCGAGCTCAAACAGGCTAACCATGATAGATTTGTTCTAGGTAACACGAAAAACATTGTAGGTTTGCTCAATATCTTCTTCTTGTAGTTTTCAATTTGAATAGCACAAAGAAAAAAAATAAAATCTTAAGCTTCTAGAGCTCGAAACGTTATTGCATTGAGGAATTTGCATTGTGAAACGAGTTGACCCACACAGGTATAGAAACCCGGCCTGAGTCATTTGCCAAAAAGAAAGAAAAAATTAAAATGATAAAAGACTAAGAGTTTATTTACATCCCAAACATTTGATGAAAGTTTCAATTTTTTTTTTTTTTTTGATAAATCATAGGTATCTTCGTGTGGAGGTAATTTTGTTCGAAGCGGGTTAAAAATTAAAGTTTTAATTTTAAACCTCTCTAAAAAATAATACTGAAGAGGATCGAACACATACTCTCATCTCACCTACTTAATTTTAATATGGCAACGGAAAGTTTCGATTTAATCCCCCAAATGAAATACTTGGGATCCAAATATGATTCTAATTAGTCATGTAAGCTCCATGTCAGCTCTCGTCGTTAATGACATTATATAAGCGATGACATTGAAATCAAGAAGTGACATTTATGATGTAAATAGATTAAACCAAGGCAAAACTATTTCTGAGCAACAGTTTTATACGCCATATACACAAAAAAAATTTATTTCACTAGAATCTGGATCCTGGTAAATTTTTTATTTTTTTTAAAAAAACTAGTGGATCCCTTTTTTGTCTTTCGCTGATGCAGAAAAACAGGACTCTTAAACCAAATCGAAAGTACTTTAGTGAAACTTGGGGATTAGAAATTAAAACGTTTTATCTATAAATGAAGAATGCTAAATGATACAAATATGTTTTTGTAAATTATAATCCAAAACAAAAATGTTTTTGTAAATTACTCATAAAAAGAGAAAATTGAAATAATTGTTTATATGTTACACTGGCGGACCCCAGGTTGGGTCATATGTCTGCAAGTGCGGACATGAGATTTTGGATTTTAATTTTTTTTTAATCATGTAAGTTATTATTTGTCTCTTGATTCAATATTTATAGTAAGAGTAAATATTATTTTAAGTTCCTAACAAAAAATATGGTCCCTATTTTAGTCCCTTACCAAAAATTAGTTTCGAGGAGATTCCTAAAAAATTCAAAGTGAGTCAATTTAATTAACATCGTAATCCCTCACAAATTCAAAAAAGACTTACATTAGTCTTAAAAAGACTAAAATAGGTCCACTTTAAATTTCATAGGGACCAGATGACTCTTTTTTCTTATAATGGACTAAAGTGAGGACCGAATTTTTTGTTAGGGACCAAAAATGATATTTATTCTTATATTAGTTAGCAACGTAGCAATGTACAGAGATGATTAAAATAACGTAGCAACGTAATTTGATTAGAGAGAAAATTTATTCTTCCTCCCCTGTCACATACCCATTCCCATGATTTCTTCATCATTTGTTATGAAAACAACTAGATTATGAGAGGGTTCAAGCGTTAATTTAAAAAAAATTTACAAAAAACATTCGGGGGCGCTGCCCCCGAACCACCGTCACTAAATGTGCGGACATAGAGAAATTTTCCTGGGCGTGCTATTGAAATTTGTGTCAAATTCATTTGGGCCCTTTACCAAAAAAAATCGCTTGGGCCTTCACAGCAACCCAATAAAAAAGGGCCTCTGACTCTCGTACTGATTGATTCTATCATTCTATGGCATTTGTGTTGGAACTTTTCCGTGTTGGAACTTTTTATATATATATATATATATATATGGGTTTTATTAATCTCCTTTTGCATAAGATGGGTATCTTATGTTGTAGAGAGAAACTGGGTGGGTCCCACAATTACAAGAAAAAAGAAAAAGAAAAAAAAAAGTGAGGTGCGAAAATCGAAGTGAGAGAAAATGAGATAAGTTACCCCATGTAAAAGGAGAGTAATATTTCCCTATATATATATATATATATATATATATAGAAAGAAAAATATCTTTATTTTTTTAAGAATATAATTTTGTATCATTTTAGATCTTAATCGTTGATTTTTATTAATAAATAGTTATAATTTATTGAGTTAAATTTATTAATTAATTAATAATTCGCAATAAATTACAATCATTAATTGACGAAAATCAACGATTAGGATTTAAAATGACACAAAGTTATATTATTTAGAAAGACAAACTTTTTTTCATATAGAAATCTGAAACAATTTTCTTGCTAGGGGCTAGAGCGTCGTCAGGCTGCATTGCATGTTGCACTGATATACGATCTCTTTAGCTAGTGAAATTTCTACATTTGATGTTGAACTGTTTAATCCCGGAAATGCTTTCTTTCTCTAATCACATGCAGATGCATGATACCAATAGAACCTATGCTCATAGGTAGATTTGCTCCACATTGTCAAGTAAAAAATGCCTCTAGAGTTAATGCCAAGGAAATGACAACTTATACCAATTTTGTAGCTACTACCTGATAAATAATTTTGTTATATTGTCTATTTTTATCACGGGAAAAAAAGAGAGTACACAGCTCAGTATCTTATTCTGATTTGTCTTAGTAATTACATATACAAGTGAAATTTTTAGGTGGGCATTGCCTCTAGGCACTCAAAATTAACAAGGGTTGAATTTAATGACCAGAAACTTGGACACTTGATCTACTTTGATTCCTTCAGTCGATAATTCACACAATGTTTCCTACTACTGTCTTCACCAGAGGTTTGCTTGAGCTTTCACTCATTATAATGTGTTGTTCCCCTTCTGGTAATTCCTCCACCAACGTTGATAGCTTCTCAACAATTTCCCTTGCACTTGGTCTCAAACAAGAATCTTCCTCCACACAAGCTCTAGCAATATTGGCCACTGTCACTGCTGCATCAAATGAATAATTCTCACCTAATGCACTGTCTATCCACTCCCTTAGTTCATTCACATTTTCTGACTTCAAAATGGACTTGATTTTATCTGTTAGCCAAATGCTTCCTTCACCCTTATCATTAGGCTTGCTTATTGGTGTTTGACCAGACAAAATTTCCAACAAAACCACCCCATAAGCAAAGATATCAATGCTTGGGGAAATTATACCTTGGTGCACATATTCAGGTGCCAAATAACCAAGACTCCAAGTGGCAGGGTTGGTGGAATAGAAAAGTGGGTCCTCAGTGTCATTCTCAACACACCCTGCCATCCCAAAATTTCCTATCTTGGTACCAAATTCTTCATCTAAAAAGATGTTCCTGCTTTTTACATTTCTATGCACATAACTTGGATTCATAACATGGTGCATATACTGCAAGGCACTGGCCACATCAAGACAGATCCTGAGCCTTTGGCTCCAAGTCAGGAAACAATAGCAAGAAGCAATGAACTGGTTCTTGATGGCCAAGCCACCATGAAGCCAATCTTTCAATGAACCATTTTTGGCATACTCAAAAACCAAATATGACTCTGGCCCCTCCAACAAACTCATTCCCAGTAGCCTAAGTATGTTGGGATGGTTGTGAAGTGCATCATGGAAAAGGCCAAGATCTATCTTTGACACTATTTCTGTCTTTGTTCTTTTGATTGCCATGTTCTTACCATTTAGACGACCATGAAATACTGATCCCTCAATGTGACTGCTTGAACTGAAATCCTCAGTTGCTTTTCTCATATCTTCAATAGTGTATGTCTCCAACAACATCTTACGCGGTGTGGCATCAATAATTTTCCCATCAAGTGCATCCTGAGACCCCTCAAATGAAACTTTCTTATCACTAGTGGTTCTTACACTATGATTCAGATGTTGCAGCTCCATATCTCCTTCTTTGCTTGAATTCTCTTCCTCCTTCTTGTGCTTCAATCTGATAAAAAACAAAGCTGCCCCAAAAGCAATGCAGACTCCAAGTGCAACCCCAGCTGCCCCAATATACAATTTAGTCTTCCACATTGTTGGCTTCTTGTGTGGACTAATCACTGGGATGCTGGTTGTTGAAAAACCCAAATTGGGCTCCCTTTGTTTAGCCAGAGGACCAAGGATAGGGTTACCATATAGTGGAATCAGAATAGAGGTAAAGGGTGCAAGGCTTCTAGGTCTAGGGCCTTCTTCTGATGATATGTTATTTGCAGAAATAATAGCTTCTTTAGTAATATTGAACTTTGAGGCCAAATTAGAAAGTGTGTCACCTTCACTTACAGGATAAGAAAGCAAAAGTCTTGGTTGTGGTCTAACTTGAGATGAAAATGGACAACCACATCTCAATGGAATAAGCAATCTCACTTTACCATCAAGATTCCAAAGTGATACACCAGGGTTGTTGTCCCTAATAGCCTTGCAAGTTGTCAAGCCCTCAAGTGATTGAGCAATACCATAAAAGCTCTCTCCTTTGATGGTAGTTTTGGTTAACTCAGCCAGAAAAAAACCACCTTTGCATTTGCAATCAATTGGTATAAGAAGAGGCTGATCCTGGGAGAGAAACTCAGTTTCTGAAGAGAAACCATTTGCTTTTGCTATTGCAAACGGATTGAGTCCCAAGTAAAAACTCAGGTTGGAAAGTGATGAGTAGTAAGAGTTGGTAAGAAAGAGTGCAAATGTTTCACATTGGTTTTGTGACCCTTTTTCATTGCAATGGTAGCCAGAGGTATATGGTGATGTTGTATCACAGTTTAGAAGGTCTTTACTCAACGACGGGACAAACAGCCACAGGAAAAAGACCAAAGCTATCATGTGGAACCTAATGATCATTTGTATTGTGCCCATAACCACTCAGGTAGCTATAACATGGAGTGGCCTATTAAAATAGAAGGGTTTCTCTCTTGGAAAGTGAATGTTTCGGATCTATACAAAAAACAAACTGAGGGAAAGATAACAGAATTTTACAAAGCTGTGTTCAGAGACTGGATTCTTGGGAATAACAAAGTTTATTTTGTGTATTTTGACTATGCTTCCAGCTGTTCAGGTAACTCTTTGACTTGATTCCTCGAACTTCAAAACTGCCTTTATATGCATCTACTTGTACATGTGAGGAAGGTCACTGTTTTACATATCACATATGCTGATGATGAATAATGTTTACATATAGAGGTACATTTTAATCACAATTTTATTGCGTGACATGGAATTAGTATTTTTTTAGTTTCCATTAATAAAAGGATTAGATTGTTAACTTTACGGGTGTAAATAAGTCAGACTTTTTATCATAGGTTATAGATCAGCTTATACGAGCCTAAACATGACATAATATATTTAGTAAAATATAACAAACTAAATCCTTTTAAAAAATATGTTTTCTATAGGCCAACTTTTACAAGACTTCACCTATAAATTCATCTGCGGGCCAATATGGTATTATTTATTTTAATTAAAATAAAATAATTTTTTAAATAATTTTAATTAATAAAATATTATTATTTCATTTATTTTTTCTAATTATTAATAGATATTTAAAGCTTTGTAGGTTTAAGTGTGTATTTGGATGAACTTTTTTCTTAGAGAAGTTGCTTTTTTATTTTTTTTAAAAAAATCTTTTCTAATTAGTAGTTTTTCAGTTTCCATTAATAAAAGAATTAGATTGTTAACTATCAGCCTATCAGGTAGGGTTGAAAAAACGGACCAACTCGGCCCGGCCACACCCAACTCGCATTCAACCCGAAAAAAACGAACCAGGTTAGGGTTGGCTCGAAAAAAAAAATGAGTCAGAAAATCCAACCCAACCCGACCCGAGTCGGGTTAGGGTTGACTAAAAAATATGGCTCGTGGGTTGGCTTGAAAAAATAGCTCACGAGTTGGCTCGAAAATTGGCTCGCGGGTTGGCTCAAAAATTGCTCACAGATTGGCTCGTTTTCAACCTATTTAAATGACCCTGTAGTATTAATGCACCAGTTATGCGGCTTCCATCAGCTTAAACAAAGGGTTACAGAATGAGAAATAAAAGAAAAATATTTTAGTTTCAAATTTTCTTACAAATTTGCATCAACATCAAGAAACAATCAGAACCACTTTCTACCAAGTGGGTAAGATATTTGAACCAAACAGAGTCAGCACAGCCTACTAATATAAAAAAGGCAAGGATGTGAGAAGATTAAGGACTTAGATTTAGATAAGGAAGAAAAATGATGGCAACATGTGTGGATTTTGTCCATTTTTGTATATTATATTTTGTATTTTTTTATAAAAAAAAAACTCAACCAACGAGCTGGTTTGGGTCAGGTTGGCTCGGGTTTGCAGCTCATTTTTGCCAACCCAACCCGGCTCATTTTTGACGGGTTACGAGCCAACCCGACGGGTTGGCTAGTTTTTGCCAACCCTGCTATTAGGGGGCTATAGCTCGACTAATATTAGGTTAGACATGACATAATAAATTTAATAAAATAAAACAAGATAAACCTTTTAAAAAGTCTGTTAGGCCAACTTTTACAAGGCCTAACTACAAACCTATAGGCCGGTAAATATTGTATTATTTATTTTAATTAAAATAAAAAAAATTTGAAATAATTTTAATTAATAAAATAATATTATTTCATTTATTTTTTCTAATTATTGATAGGTATTTAAATCTTGATAAGTTTTTTTTTTTGGTAAACAATCTTGATAAGTTTAAATAGGCTAACATACCTAGGCAAAATTTTTAATTTTTTAATATACTTCAGGTTAGAGTAGACCTATAATTTAGTCTATATTGGGCTAATTGATCATACTATATTCAAAATATTTTATATAAACTTAGTCTATTTAAACCAAAGTCTAGCCTGAGCCAGCCCAGTTATAACCCTAGTTAACTTTACTTCTTTTTAGCATTTCAATTAGCATTAATATAATAATTAAATTGATATCTATTAATCTTAATTCCTATCAATTAAGATTAGTATTTAGGGGCCGTTTGGATGAGCTATTAAAAAAATGACTTTTTATGCATTGTTTTCTTTAAAAGAACTTTTTCTAAAAGATAAAGTTATTTTACGTTTGGATGTATGATAGGAAAATCATTTTTACATAAAAAAATTTATTTGGATGTTAAAATAAAAAAAAGTACTTTTTATATATAAAATTACAATAATGGAGAGATAAAATAGCATGATCATGGGATAAGGAGAGATAAAATAGGTATGATAAGAAGCTTACCCAAAAAAAAAAATAGGTATGATAAGATGAGGTTAAAATTGTATTTTAAAAATTTATATTATCTTATTTCCAAAAAAAAATTTATACTATCTTTTAATTTCTGTTTTTTTCAAAAGCAACCAGCTATTGGTTAAAAAAAAAACAGCATTTTAACTTTTATTTTAAATTTTGCTTTTTTAAAAAGTTGTTATTCAAACATCTAAAAATTCTCAAAAGGACTTATATTTTTAAAAAAACAACTTTTTTATAAATAAGAGCCCATCCAAACCAACAGTCATTGACGTTACTTCTTTAGTATTTCAAATCCTTATTATACAATGGTTGAACGGACCTTCAAATTATGGCGGTGGAAAGCAGATTCATTGAAAATTTGGGATGCCAAACACTTATCACTTGATAGGTAAAGCAAAAATGAAATTTACCTTCTTCTTCTTTTTTGCATTCTTTCAATCAAGGATTACAAAATCCAAACCTTTACATTTTTTCTTTCCATTTTTCATATTCTATATCAATCAAACGCCAAAAAAAAAATGAATAAAAAACAGCTAAGACACCAATGTCAACAACGAAGGTCATCCATCAATGCAAAAAGAATCTTACATGGATAGCACTCTGCCTCCCAAGTACATGCAACTTTTAGCTATAAACATGAAAGATGAAAGATGAGAAAGCAGCATACAAATTACAAACAATGTAACCTATGAAGCAAAGTTGATAGAAATGATGAAAGTAGTGGAAAGTGTGGGCTTTGAAAAGTAGACAAAAGAATATTAACTAATGCTTGGTAAAGTTAAGGCATGAAAGAAGGGCTAGGTATAGACATGTCACAGAGACCATTGATATCCTACGTTGACAAACGCCACTACCATGGAAAAAGACCACACAGCGCCCATGCCAAGCCATATTGCACCCAACAATAAGCCAAATATAGCTTGCTCAAGAGCTAATCCTTTTCATTTTGTATGTGTTGTTATTGTACATCACAATCCTGAGACAATCAATAAAATAAGTACATGCGTATGGAACCATTTTTTCTTTTTATAATTGGTGTTAAGGTTACATGATTTAAAGCGGTGATTTTAAAATTAGTGTATTTGATTCTTAAAATGTTTGAAGTATACTCCATAATTTTGAAGTCATAGCTTAGGCGATTGCCCCTCAAGTTCATAAAAATATTTACTCGATACTATATCCAGATTCAAGATAAATGTAGGTCCAGCTAGGGATGGCAAAGTGAGCGGCCCGCCCCACCCCGCCATCAACCCGTCAAAAAATGAGCCAGCTCGCCCCACCCCGCCCCGCTTTTGAAAGTGGGCTGAAAAGCTCAGCCCGCCCCGCCTCGTTTGGCAGGTTGGGCAGGTTGGCCCGCCAGCCCGAGCCTATTTTACACTGACCTGCCTCGGCCCGCCTATGCCCGCCATCAACCCGCCAAAAAATGAGCCCGCCGCCCCGCCCCACTTTTGAGATGGGTTGAAAAACTGAGCCCGCCTCGCCCCGTTTAGCTGGTGGGGCGGGTTGGCCCGCCGAGCCGAGCCCGTTTTGCCATCCCTAGGTCCAGCATATCCCTCAAGCTCGGCCTTTTGATTTTCATTATTATTGTTTTTTATGGATTTAAAGTTTCTCATGATTTAAGAAATAAAATTATTTCTTATACACACCTAAAAGCAATGTTATTAAAACCGGCTCGGTCATTGACCCGGTCGAGGTACTGGGTCGCTGGTTCAACCAGCGGGTCACTGGTTCAACCGCATGACCCGATAATTATATACAATTTTATAATTTATATTAAAAAATTATAAACATACTCAAATATCTAAAAAAAAATGATAAAAATTTCAAATATTTTAATATAAAAATAATAAATCACATATTATTATCCAATAAAAGATCAAACAAAAATATAATAATCGTGATACGGGGCTTTAGGTTCATAAAACGACATCTCTGACTATAAATTAATTCAAAATTTTCTGCATAGTACATAATTGAGATAATATTAGTGTTGTAGGCTAAGAGGCACCGACACGTGATTTGAAAAAAAAATTACGTGACGGACACGCTCCGACACGCGGTCAACATTTGGGGACACGCTCCGACAAGTTTTTCCGGCACGCAGTCAACTTTTTCCGACACGTGGTCAACGCTCGGACATGTTTTTTTAGTCTTAATTTTATTTTATTAACTAAAAATAAAAAAATCATTTATAAATCAATTTTTTTTTGTTATGAAATTTGACATGAAAAATTAACAAGGTACGGAAAATTATTTTTGTTTATATTTATGTTATGAAATTTGAATATTTGATTCGTTATATGACTTATTATGGACTGTTATATCTATTAAATATAAATTATATTATATATATTAAAAATATTTTTTTTTATAAACATAAAAATATTATTTAATATCAAAACGTGTCCCAACGTGTCGAAATATGTCATTTTTTAGAATTAACGTGTCGGTGTGTCGTGTCCCGTGTCAGTGTCCCGTGTCAGTGTCCGTGCATCATAGGTTGTAGGTACATAACTTATATAAGTCAATAAGTAAAAAAATATTCAAATATTGGACTTTTTTTTTACCGGGTCGGGTCACCGGTTTTCATGAAAACCGGCCGGGTCGGACCGGGTCGCACCGGTTCTGATGCATGGCCGATCTGTTGCTTCAATCGGATCGGTTATACGACCGGTTTACCGGTTCCCGAATCGACCCGGTCGGGTCGGTCCGGTTTTAATAACACTGCCTAAAAGTGCATGGGATCTAATTTTTCTCTTTCTCTCTCTTCTCCTTGTGTGGCCCCGCATGAGCCTCACACACTTTATATATATAATATTTTTATCTCCTATGATATAAAAACTTTAAACTCATTTTTTATGTTTGAAAAAGTTTGATAAGTTTTTCAAATCTTAATATGCATGCCCTGACTCGTCATTGATTGTGAAGCATGGAAATGATATAAGATACATCATTAATACGATACAATATTTAGCGTGTTTTATAGTGATTTAAAATGTCGTGTTGTGTTTGATTCAAGTATTTGTTAGCGTGTTTTGATATCTCTTTTGAAATATCTCTAATAGATGCCTGCGATTGGGTAATGTAAAAATGTAAAATAATGTAAAAGAGTGTGGGATTGAATACGTTTTGGGGGTGATGAGGTTAACATCTAGAACCAATACATTCGAAGGCATTGTGAAACAGGATACTCGATGTGATTGGTACTTTACCTGCAATAAAGTATAACCTAGCGAAAAATCTGGTGAATGGTTTGGCTCAGATTCTCAGAACCATTATTTTTGTTACCAACTTTTAGCTTAACTTGGATTCAGTGAAGTCAAAAGTAATGGAGTGTTCAAAGGATTCACGGGTATTCATAAGAAACTTTCCTTGTATTCCCCTTCACACTTTTTCAGGAACTTACAGAACAAAGGAAAGAAAATTTGTGGCTTTTGATAACGCAGAACAGGAACAAGCTTTTAAACATTTGGCTAGTGGTTGTCATCAAATACGTATATCCTGCCCTCAGGACTGGATAACACAGAAGATTTCATTGTGTTATTATCACAACACAAGTACCCAAAGTGCTACCAGCCCTTTTCGGTACAACTTATTAGATTTTAAGTAAAATCAGAAAGGGGATAAAAAATCATAAAACGTAAAAAAATTGTGAAAACGTAAAAACGTTTGGAATATTTGTAAAATCGTTTTGATGAAAATAAAATCATAAAAACGTAAAATCGTAGTGATGAATCGAGATTTTAACTAGCATGATTGTTGCTGTTTCAATACTACCTTGATGGCCTCTTAGTATAATTTAAGTAAAAATGAAGATTGTTATTATTCTAAATAAAAACAATAATAATGTCTATCTTTCTTAGAACTAAAAAGGTATTCATAATTCGTTGTATCAAAAAAATCATTGCAAAAATGTAATCCATGACATTGGCATAGTGGCATAAGGAGCAGGAACAGGAGAAGAGCAAAACGATGTATTGTGTCATTAGATCCAACCCCAGATTCAGCAGCTAAAGATACAAAATTTTGTCAACATAAAATTTTATTTAATCTCAAAACTCGAAATAAATTTCAATTTGAACTCGTAGAAACCCTTCTCGCTATTTATTTTAATAAGCTTCTTTAATACATAAAAATTTCAATTATAGAAAAACATGTTCAATTTAAGACAAGGAAGACCACCAACCTCAACAAAGGTTTACAGTGGCTATACCAATCATTATTTTAAAATCGAATCAAACCGGCCGGTCCAACCCGTTAACTTGGAAACCATGATTCAACCGATATAAATACACCTTACCAGTAGACTACACTATGTTATTGATTAAAATGCACCTTTTAATATTTTTAGTATATAATTTAATATAAAATTTAATTTAATGAGTTGAATCAATGACTCATTATGAATCAAAAACCCATTAACCAACCCTCTTTGTCTATTTTAATAAGCTTTTAATTTGACATCAATACCGTCTTTCGTTGGACTGTTAGTTGATGTTTGCGAAATCATCTCCAAAATAAGACATGTGACTCAAAGAAATCATTAAATTAGGTCATTAACCAATATCATGTAGTATTATTACCCCAAAATGAATATCACTTGTTTCTCCCCCACCCCCACCCCATATGTCAGAATGACTTCAACACACTTTTGGAGAGAAAAGCAAGTTTTTTCATATGATCAAAGTATGGGGTCTAAATGAATGGCATAATAAAGTGTGCACATGCACGTGAGAACACATGCTACCCACTGTTCTTAGTAGACAGAATATTAAGCTGATCTTGGGAGTAGTAGGAGACATAACCCACTCCTGAAGACATTTCTAATTTCTTGCGTCGAGAATATAAAGAGTCTCATCAAAGATAATAATTAAAAAAGAGTATAAAAATCGGGAACTTAAAATGCATGAATTTAGTAGATGAGGATGGTTTTTCTCGCGAAAAGAGCCAAGTCAGGGGGTGTAGACTTAATTCTACTTCCATTCATTCAAGGGATTCAAAGACATTGTAGGTTGGGAAGATTGGGAGCTGAATATTGTGATCAGCATTCATATAATCAAGAAATGCGCATATGCTAAGTGCATGTGCCAAAGTATGCTGATAAAACAAGTGTAATTGGTACACCAATTCCCAAACAAGAAATTTTCATGGAAAATTAGTCATTCAAACATAACAACTTTTATATAATATAACTCAAGCAATAGTCCACTTTCATAATGTATCTGATATATTTGCCCAAAAAACATGAATCTAATATATGAACAATAAAATAGGAAATTAGGCAATTAGTATACAGTTATTTTAAGTTATAACTTCCAGTCGTCCTTAATTCCTCAGTGTTCTAATGAATAAGAAACATTGAATTGACACACGTGTCTATCATGATACCAACCGAATTATGGATTTTGTTTTGATATTACTGATATCACACTACGAGTATATAGCGCCAGCTGTATAAGAAACTATTGAAAGGTTTTTGTGTTAGTGTAAAAGCGTAGTTACAACAACTTTACGTGGCACTCTCTTATCTACAGATAATGTAAGAATATTAACAGTGGATCAAATTTAAATTCAAAATTTAGTATTATATGTTCTTTAACAAAGGAGTTAGGTGACAGCAGCATCTGTCATCCCCTTTTATGCCTTTATATTTTTATGAAGTGCACACTAGATATAGACATATATAGTAACATTGTTAAATCACCTATCTTTTATTCGACGAATCAAAATGTTAGCACATTAAGCATATTGACTGCGTGAAGTAGTGAAGTGTACTGCAACATAAAATGACGGAACTTGATTGTACCAAGTCAATATGTTTGCTGAGCTTTCTCAACAGAATTCCTCAGCAAGGATATTACTTGAGATGGCTCAGGAGCTCCAAACACTGAACTTCCAGCAACAATGCAATTTGCCCCTGCTGATGCGGCCATGTCTATGGTTGAAGGCCCTAAACCACCATCAACCTGCAATTGAAATTGGGCATGTTTTGATCACTGCAATATAGTATTATCACTGGTGTGCATGAGCACGCTAACACAAGCAGTTCATAATCTCCATGAAAACAATAATTGAGCACTTAGAAATAAAGTTGAAAAGAAAGTTTTGGTGAGAAACCTTCATAAAAAAGAAGATAAAAAATGCAGAGGCAACAAGAAATAAACAAAAGACCACTTTTGCTGCCTTATTCGTTGAACAAGTAGTGAGAACATAACAAGCGTAAAATGTGAAAATGTTAACAAATTCAGAAATCTGAAGTGAACAAATCTCAATATCAATAATATACTGTGTTTACAACCATGAAGAAAGTATGCATTTAACTTGACAATAAAGAAGTTACAGACAAGAAAATAGGCTGAGATACCTCTATGTCAAGTGATGGATACTTCTTCCTCAGTATCCGTACCTGGATTGAAATTCAAAAACAAATAAATAAGAAAAATAACCAAAAAAATAGGTACCACTTGCATAATAGACGAGTTGTCAGCAAAAAACCATAACATATGAAGTTAAGAAAGACAGTGATACCTTATCCATCATCTCTGGCATAAATTTTTGTCCTCCAAATCCAGGTTCTACAGTCATTACAAGAACCATTTCCACAGGATTTTCAGCTTCAACCTGTGAAAAGAAAAATGAAACACACAAAAAAAGAAAAAGAAAACAAAAAAGAAATACCCTCTTAAGACTAAGATCCTCGAGTCAGAGATATTGTATCTATTCTCAAGTTTATGCAAAGACTCAGGATATTCACGGAAAATTAATGATGATAAAAAATCCATGTATACAGGTATGACCAGAGGAGAATCAGAAGGGCACAAATATGCATACCAGGGGATAAACCTCTCCAATGGGTGTCCCAGGCTTTAACGATACACCAGGCCTCATGCCCTGTGACTTAATTCTTTGTACAAGCTCTTTCCAGTTATCTGTGCACAAGAATCACTTTTAAGAAGGCAGGAAAGGAAATATTATATAAAGGTGGGCAGAAGAAAACAGCATAAGAGGAGGATAAAACAAAAGAAGGGAGTATAAACACCAACCCTTTGATGCCTCTACATGAAATGTAAAACCAGAAGCACCAGCTCTTGCCAAAGGTTCAACATAGTCAAGAGGATTTGTAACCATCAGGTGACAATCCAGATATGCCCTGCAAGGATTAATGATTAGTGACTCAAATGCACCATAAATCATGCCAATGGAAAAAAATATTCTGCAAAGAAACAATTAGATTGGTGAAGGAGGAAGATTGTTACTTTGTGTGCTTTCTCAAACTTTCAATGACTGGAGCACCAATAGTTAAATTGGGGACAAAGTGCCTGCGGAAATAGAGGAAAAAAAGGGAAAAGGAAAGGAAACATGTTAAAAAATTTAATGGACAACACACAATAAACAAAATTAAGCACCATGAGGTGACTCTAAATCATCCATAGCAACCATGTCAAGTTGATGAACAAAATTTCCTTCCCATTATTATGAATTTGTTATGGACAAGTTAAATGGTCCCAACTTCCTCTTCCCGGTACATGACATACACTAAGCATCTCACTCCACCACTCTCTCTCTCAACTTCCCCTCACATAACCACCCACTGAGCCTAGCATCACTCCACTAGTCACTTGCTAAATCACCCACTATGGGCACAACCTCCCTAACAGCTAGTGCACTTCATCTATATATGGCCCCCTATACCAAAGGGGGGGATAAGTTCTTCAGTATTCACAAGGCTTACCACCATGATTACAGCCTTCACATATCTTGTGCCCAGAGCACATTCTATCCACTTAGCAGGTGACTCACACACACACCCTTGATTCATACCATCGGACTATATTGGCTAGAGGTACTATGCTTCCCATTGCCAGTCATCTCTACTTTCACTCCGTAGTAGATACAATCACTAGCTCCTCAAGTAGACATTTGTGTTCACCTCCGAAAAAAAAATAATTGTCAATATTGAATAGAACTAGCTCCCAAACACAACCTTTAACCTTTGGTTTTACGCTTCATATCGTTGCAAGCAGTAGCTACACTGCCAAGCTCTGCTGGAGTTTTTCTTAATTTCTTCAATTAGTTTATCATTCAACTTGATATGTGTTTAGTTAAATGCCCAATTTGCAATCCCATACAATTCCACTTTTATAAAAAATGTATTCTGTCTAATTTCAGCATGGTACAAGAAATTTATCTGTTTCAAAAAGGAAGAATTGGATGACAGGTAGAAAATTACAAGTCAATTAGAAATCTGTCACCAGAAAATAGCCTTGAAAGTGAAGGTAAAGAGTTTAGGCCTCGGCCACATGTTTATATGCTTAATGGCCAAAAAAATTACTTGGCTACAAGCATATAATATACGCAACAGAAAATGTGAAATAGATCAAAAAACTTAACTGGATGCATGAAAATACTATAAAAAATAGATTAGGGGGGAAAAAAAATCAATAAAGGCCTCAGGAGTTCCAGTAAACTTAATAGAAGATAAAATACCAAAATCTCCTATGATGGTTTATACATATATTATTCACTATGCTAAAGCACTATTGTTGAAAGCTGTGAAGATAAAAATTGGGTTAACCAAGAAAGCAACAATAGCAAAAAAATACTAAAATACAACACTATACAGGTAATTGATATCGGAGAAACTTAAGAGTAGAGAATGCAGCACAAATTAGAAATGAATACCCAAGCAGAACCTACAGTGAGAACTTGAGGTTGCTTTAATCCTGTTATTGTTGTTATTGAATATGACTGAAGATTGACGTTCTCTTTCTGCTGATAACACAGACTTAATGATAAGGGTGATTTAGAATGCAGCATTCACTAATATTCATGAAAAAACTACACCCCAACAGATTCAGTGAGATCATTCACCATTGAACAATACCTCTCTCTTACCCCTACTGGTATAATGATACTAATAAGCAAGAACGTTTATTTGAATGAACTAAAGAGTATACTATTCAATATTAACCCAAAGCTACAAACGAATTAATTACACTTAACTCAAATTCGCTGTAAACAAAATGACACAAGAATGTGCCAGAACCTAAAGCAAAAAATCCTTTTTTGTGCCAAAGACACATCATTTTTGTCATTTTCTCTACATTTAATGATAAGGACCTCAAATCACAATTTGGTAGATAGTAAACTTTCACATGCCTTCCCTCAAATATAATCAAGTCAAGTAAAAGAACTATGATCCATTATACTGGACAAAACAAGAAAGAAAAAAAAACACACAAGGGATTAAACAGAACTGCAACTTAAAACCCAGTCAATTTGGGAAGTTAGGGCAATCTCAGGGGTCAGGACAAAGATAACACAAGACAGTGATTCCTTACCCATCCTGCAAATGAACCAAAAAAAGAGAGAGAGAGAAATATCAGGAATCATGATTGCTGATGAAATAAAATATGTTCAAATCAGATAAATTCTTGAAACACAATAGCAACATATACACATTCGTTCAGTCTTGGTTAACAACTTTTCCGATCCACCAAAAGGACAACAGATTTGTTATAAAACCCCAACATACTTAACATATAATATGGATTAATAAGATGAATATACATAAAATTGGAGCATGAAATATGAAGAATAATACCATGATGTCCATGTGGAGCCAATCGGCGCCAGAATTGAGCATGCGATGAGCCTCGGAAGCCAAATTAGCAAAGTCGGAAGAGAGCATCGAAGGAGCAATTTTGGGTGTCACTCCCATCGTTAACGGAACGGAGGAGAGTCACAGTGTTGGTAGACGGTGGATGGTTGGTGGTTGGTGAAACGGAGCACAACACAACACAGGAGCTTCTTCCAATTCAGTATTCACAACACTACGTTGATGGCTGCCTTGACTTTTACTTACAAGTCGCAATTTTTGACAACACTATGTTTTAAGAACTTTGTTTTCAATAATTTTTTTTGCAAAATGAAATGCAAGAATATTAGCAAAAAAGTGGTATTCTTAAAATCTCCGGAAAAATTTTATATATTTTTTGAGATAAAATTTCAATAATATTTTAACTTATCAAATAGTTTTTTAATAATATTATTGGAAGAGTGACTTTTTCCATCATATTTTTTTAAAATCATGATTTTTGAGTAAAAAAAATTTATCCTATACTAAACACTCCGTACAATATTTGTTTTAAAAAAATACATAAAATTCTATCCAAAATAAAAATAAAAATACATAACACCTAATGAGTATAAAATGAAACACCATATTAGCAATGATTTGAGTTCAATTATCAGCTTTTTTTTTTAGTTCCTTCAATGTATTTCTTAGTTAATAGCAAAAGATTGAGATGGAGTACCGGGGGTCATGGCTCCATAATGGTTAAGGATGCTTATCAGGTCCTTATGCAGAAACAGTTTCCACTTGAAGATAATATTTTTCCAGAACAAGTGTGGAATGCTCTTTGGTGTTGGAAGGGTCTAGAAAGAGTGAAATTATTTATGTGGAAATGCCTCCATCGGAGACTGCCAACTCGAGCTTGGGCTGCTAAGTGATATGATGCGAATCCAATTTGCTTTAGATGTGAGAAAGCATATGAGACAGAAATGCATGTGTTGAGAGATTGTGCTATGGCTAAAAGAGTGTGGGATGAACTGCTAACAGGTATGCGACAAGCTATTTTTTATGAAATGAATTGGGTGGATTGGGTGTCTGTCAACATAAGTAATGATAGGACGGGATGATTGTCGTTTTTTCCCGGCTTAGAGTGAAACAGGAATATACCTAATGAATCTTAACATTAAAATTAGCCTAAATTGGGGAACAATATTTCTATTAACCTGCTGGGAGCTATGGAATGAAAGGAACGCTGTTTATCATGGAAAGGATGGGCGCAGTGAATATCTTATTGCGGGGAAGGTGCATCGTATGGCTATGGATATAGAAAAAGCATTCGGTGATAATGGCAATAGAAAAAAGGTTGGCATGTTAGTTCAGTTGCAAATAGCATGGCAGCCACCTGATCAAGGCTGGGTTAAACTAAATACAGATGGTGCAGCCAAAGGATCTCCAGGAGTAGCAGCTTGTGGGGGATTATGTAGAGGTTCAGATGGCCAATGGCTTGGGGGTTTTGCTTAACATGTGGGCATTGCATCAGCTTTTACGGCGGAATTATGGGGTATTCTGAAAGGATTGGAATTTGCTTGGAACAAAGGGTTTACGAAACTTATAATTGAAAGTGACTCCACTTAGGTGATCACGTTGCTCACCAACAAAGGTAATGCTGTCCGAGAGTCGCATATTGTTACTCGTATTCGGACTTGGATGAACAAAGACTTGGACCTCAAGGCTCAACACATTCACCGTGAAGGAAATCAGTGTGCTGATTGGTTAGCCAATCATTTGATATGCCTTACTCAGACCTCTGTCTATAAGGAGTTTAGTCATGTTCCTCCTGGACTTAGCTATTTATTTTTTGCTGATGTTTGTGCTGTTACTAGCATTAGGAATGTTCATTTTGTTTAGTTGTTTTCTGGACTGTTAAGGCCTTTCTTTCACCCAAAAAAAAGACTAATCTTTTTGAGACATAGAGATTATCAAAGTGAATTTTATCTCCATTAACAAAGTCCTTTTCATATATTCAAAACCACTGACCTTATTAAAATTATACCACTTACGTAATTTCACTCTAAATTTTAATGAAGTTAGTGATTTTGAAATTCTTTAGGTTCGTAATCTCTTATCTAAATTTTAATTTATCAAAAAAAATTAATAAAAGATGAATTTAATATTTCTTGGAAGATAATTAAGTTATCTTTTTTTTATCCCAAAATGACGTAGTTTCGAGTTCGAAAGAAATGTATTTTTATAATTTGAATTTGTTTTGGGCTATTTTAATTTTCATCATTATAATATTTTTTCTTTCAACCCAATAACTATATTATTTTTGTGTCATAGAAAATAATTTATTTCCTGTAATAAGAGAAATATTAAACTCATAGAAATAGATTAAATAATAACATAAATTTCTATTATAATAATATACATGTATATATGGGCAATTATAACCTTCATGATTATCATGCTGATGTTTAGCTTAAAATTATGCATATACCAATTTCGTTCCTAAAGTGAAAGAAAACAAGTATATATTTATAATTAGAAGTACTGTATCAATAAAACTGAATCTAGAGAGAGGGGAGAAACTGGGATGGAAACAGAGGACGATGGAGCGCGTGGAGCGCATGAGCGTACGACAGAGGAAGAAGATCTGATTCAGAGGAGCGTGAAGAAACCTAAAGGAGAGGTGGTGGTAGATGAGAACATGGATGATGAAATGCTAGAGAAACTAGAAGATAGAGTTAGTGAAGTAACCAAATCCATCCTCCCTGAGATTGTTAAAATCAAGCAGGAAGTGCCTGGTAAAAAGTTCATCTCGTACGGAGACAAATTAATTAGGTTGAATGGAGGCGGAGGTAACTCGGAGAGCGAGGAGGAAGATTGGAAAACTATCCAACGCAGAGAAGAAGAGGAAGATGGTTGCGAGGAGGATTTGGCCCAAGGAGCTGAGGACGATCCCATGTGTCCATCCCTTCAATTTTCTAAGAGCCAACACGAGAAAGACAGCAAACAATGGAGGAAAGCCCTTATTATAAAGCTGCTGGGGAAGAGAATAAGAACTCGTTTCCTAATGGCAAGGTTAGAGAGGCTGTGGAACTAGGTGTCGACCTAAGAGTTGATAGATCTAGATAATGGATATCTTCTCCTGAGGTTTCAGAATGATGGGGACTACCTACATGTGTTAGAGGAGGGACCTTGGATTGTTGCAAATCATTACTTGGTGGTTCAGAGATGGAGTTCGTTCTTTGATCCGTATGATGAGGGTTTCAAGAAATTGGCGGTCTGGATAAGGGTACCTGGTCTTCCTATTGAATTTTATACGGCTCATTACTTGTGGAAAATTGGAAATCTATTTGGGCAAACTCTTAAAGTTGACATAAATTCCCTACGCAGAAATGAGTTATGGGACGATGTCATTACTGAGAGAGTAAAGTTTGCCCGAATATGTGTTGAAGTGGATCTAAGAAGAAGCTTCTTGTTGAAGTTTAAAATTGGAAGTAGAGTTTTCCAGGTAGGCTATGAAGAACTGCATCTGATCTATTTTAAGTTTGGCATGAATGGGCATAGGCAAGACCAATGTGCGGATAACCGTAATGAGAACCAATGGAGGAGAAATCTTCTGGAAATTCAGGGGAGAACCATAAGGATGGAAAAGCTTTTGGTAGCTGGATGGTTGTTCAGAGAACTAAAAGAGGAGGAAAAATTAAAGCAATCCCGATGAAGAAGGATATTGGAGAGAAAGAAGGAGCTCTGGCTGATATGGTGAATATAACACCTCATATTTCTAAAACATATAATTATTTATTAAATGTGGATTAAAGGGTAGGATTAGTGAAAATCCTGAAATTAGGGTCAAAATACAAAGGAAGGGTAAAATGATAATTTGCCAAACACGTAACCCTAGAAAAGTAAAATTGAGTAGGAAGTCTCAAATGGAAAAACTAACCCTGGAATGAATTCAGAATGAAAAATTGAGTGGTTAGGCAAGTTTCTGGAAATTTGGTGAATAGTTTTTTACCAGGTAAAAATAATGCGGTATAGTTGCATCGTAAAGCGTGCTAAATGAATTTTGAGCTCTAGGTTTAGATATAAGTTATAAATGGTACGTAGGACTAGGAAATATGATTTCTAGTGAAAATTGATAGAAATTAGAGTGTTTGGAGAATCATGCCCACAACGCGCACAACAGCTTAAAACTGTGATTTCTCCAAACGACCAGAAAACTCCGGATTCATCTTATCAAGGAGAATTAAAGAGCAATGGTTAATGTTAAAAATTAGAGTTTCTAAATAGTTTAGGAAATTATGGACGTTTAGTGGAATAGGCAGGAGATTAGAATTAGTTTGAAACGTGTGAGGTGACGGTGGGACCCACCCCACTTAAGCGAACTTGGCCACATGGGGAGACACAAAATTCTGAACTTTCTCTCTCCTTCCTCCCACCCAAACCCACGGCCTCCATTGATGAGTGGGGAAGCTTTGCTTCAAATCTTCATTCAACCAAAACTCATTCATTTCTCACTCAAATCCAATAAAGTTTGTCATCAAAGTTTAAGTAAATGGCATTCTAAACACAACCATGGTAGTTTTAAGACTTGAAACCCACTAGATTGAGCGAAAAATCCCCCTCAAACCCGCGGCTAAGTGTGTAGATTTGGTATTCTTGGAGTTGATTGATCCTCCAATGCTTTGGTATGTTGTGGAGGAGTCCTAGGCCTTGCTTGTGAGTAAGTTTCTACACTTTTAATTGGTTGAATATGTTGATTCAAATTTGGTGACCTAGAGCTATTTTGCATGAATTGATGTAGTTAGAGATCTCAAATTGAAAATGTGTATCAGATAAAAGTGGCTTAGAATGATGTTTTAGAGTAATTGAACTCATAAAAATTATTGAGAAATTATTTGGTAACTTAGGCAATTTTGATGATGGTGTTCATGACTTTGTGAAATGGCTTGGTTATAGGATTGTGTAATTGAGTTGTGGAGTGTTTGTATAAGTTAATTATAGGATTGCATGATGCGTGGAAGTGTGAAATTGGATTGAATACCCCTAGGTATGTGGGCATGAACAATCCGGCCATGTGAAGTGATGTGCCTCTAGCAAAGGTAGTTTTCCAAGCTGAAATTGATAAGAATTGAGTCATAAAAGAGATATTTATATACATTTTTGCTTACTATATTGATTCTTTCTATGTCAATGATATTTCTCACCTATTGGTTGTGTATATACAGGTAAAAGAAGTGAAAATTACAAAATTGTAAAAAGCATGTTGACGCGACTCCACACGGGTGTAGCACAGTACAAATTCAAGCAA